AGACCCCTCTCACCGCCCCGTCTCCTCTCTGTTCTTTGCTCAGGAATCGTCGGAGAGCACCAACACCACCATCGAGGACGAAGACACCAAAGGTATCGGCGGGGGCACAGGGGGAGGTGGGCAGGCTGCTTTGGAGGGGCGCCCTGGGGTCGTTCGTCTGTCCACCCCTAACGACATTCCCTGATGGCTACAGGGAAATCCACCACCATGGAGCTGCCTCGGGGCCCTTCAGAAGTTGCTCCAGCTCCTTGGGGGGTTTCACTGCTGGTGAGGAGGGGGGCGGGTATCCCAAAAACAGGGATGTTCCCTGACAGCAGGCATGGAAATGGCAGAAATCCGCGTGGATAGCAGCCCAGCTGCCTGCTCCTCCAAAATAAATGCCCATTTGGGAAAAGCCTCCAGGGGAAATCCCTGCCTGCCTCCCTCCCGCCTGCCAGGGCCGGCTTTCTAAGAATAACTCGGGGAATAATTTATCAGTGCTAATTTGTAAAGTCTCTCGATGAAGTGATCTCGGCACAAAGCAAGATGGACTTTGGCCTGACGTGAGAGTTCATGGGACACTTGTCCTCCCAGGGAAGGTCTCCCTGGGAGTGGATGTGGAGGCAGGCGGTGCTCAGGAAGTGATGGGGTCCCTCTCCTTTCTGAACAACTCTCAGGAACACCCTCCCTCTCCTTTCGTTAGCCACGGTACAAGGAAGGGTTAAGTCAAGGATGATGCTGATTTGCATTTGAAGCAGAGCCTTGTTAATAAGCCCAGTGTTACCTCTGGCAGCTCCTTCTGCATCCCAGGGAGCCAAACTCGCCCTCACAGCCCATCACAGCCAAGACAGCAGTGCTGGGGGTCCCAGGCATCAGCTGCACAGGGTTGTGCCCTTTGCAGGGTCCCTCCCTGTGTCTCCCGGGGTGGATGGCCACATCACCCTGTTGTCCCCAGCTGAGACCCTCTCCTCCCATCTCAGAGGAAGGTGAGAGCATCCTTGCTCCAGCCTGTCCTGGCTGGCCCCTGCTCTGGGTTTCCAGCTCGGCAAGGCTTTGCAGCCGAGACTACCCTATGCCACCTTTTTGGGCCGAGGGCAGCTCACCACTCCGTGATTAACTCTTTTGCTCTTTAGGAAAATACAGAAGTTTTCAGTTTTGCCCTGACCTTGGAGGTCTTTCCTCTCTGGGGATGAAGAACCCTTCCCCACATCTCTCTCCTAAGTCCTTCTCCTGCTTTTCCCTTGGACAGTTTCCAGCAGCCCTCAATGCCCCACCGTCTGTTTCGAGCGAGAAAAAGATCCGTCACCGATACTGAAATGCCAGCACTTTTGGTTTGTTTTCTCCTTTTATGTTCTTTTTCTCTTTAAACCGACAGTGCGAAAGCAAGAAATCATTAAAGTCACGGAGCAGCTGATCGAAGCAATAAGCAATGGCGACTTTGAGTCCTACACGTGAGTGTGCCCAGCGTGGCTTTGGGCTGGGGTGGGGGCTCAGCCGGTGACAACACGGCCTGGGAGGTTTTACTGCTGCCCAGGGCAGGGTGACCGGGCTGATGTGGTGCTGAGGCATGGACACCATCCAAGAGAAGCAGGCGACCAGGGTTTCCAAACCCAGTGCATCTCTCACGCTGAGCTGACCGCATCTCTCTGGTCTCACTATCGTGGAAGAGCCTATTTTCTGGTTTGCAGAGATGAATAACTGCAACTGTGATTTATGGTGGAAGAAGGAACATCGCATCCATGGTATCCATTATACCCAGATTGCTGCAGGCTGCTTGGAAGCGTAACTGCTTTCTACTCGCTGAGCTGATGCTCCTCAGAGTACACTTCAGTGTCCAAGACCTATTTAATTAGCATTTTCTGAGCGAGTGCAGGTCTCCGTCCCTGCCGCAGCGAATCGCAGCAGGGATATTTTGATATAGAGCAAAGCATATGAGGCTTTTTCCCTGCTGTTTCTCTTTCTTACAAAGCAGACAGCAGGGTTTTGGAGGTTTAGTTGGAGATGGTGGGTGATGGAGAGTTCACCCTCCCTCACTGGGGTCCCAGCTGCAGTCGGTGGGCTGGAGGCGAAGTGTAGGGATGAGGTCGGACTGGCACAGAGGCTCCTGGGTCTTGGACTGGGGGAGTCATCCTGAGCACAAGCCATTTGGGTTTTGCAGGATCTCATGCCAGAAGCAGTGAGATAACCTCTCCCTTTTCTCTCCCCTCCCCGCTCCCCCAGGAAGATGTGCGACCCTGGGATGACTGCCTTTGAGCCCGAGGCTCTGGGCAACCTTGTGGAAGGCCTGGATTTCCACCGATTCTACTTTGAAAACCGTAAGCAGCCCCCTTGCCTCCCGAGGGACCCTCCCCATCTCCCGTAGGCACAGCTGTGTTTGGCCTTCATCAGGTTGCTGGGGAGAGGAGGGTAAGGGTGTCTTTGGGAGCATGGCTGGCTGATCTGGAAGATCCCAGCAGGAGGTGAATCAAGCCTGTTAGGTCACCTGGGGCCGGGCTGCATGCAGAGGAGTTTTTTGGATAGCTGCTTTCCATGTGGACCCATCCCGAACCCATCCATTGAGTGTTTGCTCAGTCGCTCCAAGCAGAGAGCTTAACCCAAGCATGGCCCCGCATCGCAGCTTACCTGGGCAAAAGCCACCCGGACTCCTCCTCCCCCTGCCTAAAACTGCCTGTACTTGTCCCCTCTCCAGTGTGGTCCCGGAACAGCAAGCCCGTGCACACGACGATCCTGAACCCCCACATCCACCTGATGGGAGACGAGTCTGCCTGCATCGCCTACATCCGCATCACACAGTACGTGGATGCAGGAGGGATCCCCCGCACTGCCCCGTTCGAGGACACCCGCCTC